GACTCACACCTCACTGGGTGGTCATAGACTGACTCACACCTCACTCACAGGCTGACTCACACCTCACTCACAGACTGACTCACACCTCACTCACAGACTGACTCATGCCTCACTCACAGACAGACTCACACCTCACTGGGTGGTCATAGACTGACTCACACCTCACTCACAGGCTGACTCACACCTCACTCAGAGACTGACTCACACCTCACTCACAGGCTGACTCACACCTCACTGGGTAGCCACAGACTGACTCACACCTCACTCACAGGCTGACTCACACCTCGATGGGAGGCCACAGACTGACTCACACCTCACTCACAGACTGACTCACACCTCACTCACAGACAGACTCACGCCTCACTGGGTGGCCACAGACTGACTCACATCTCACTCACAGACTGACTAACACCTCACTGAGTGATCACAGACTGACTCACGCCTCACTCACGGACTGACTCACATCTCACTCACAGACTGACTCACACCTCACTGAGTGATCACAGACTGACTCACGCCTTACTCACGGACTGACTCACACCTCACTCACAGACTGAATCACACCTCACTCACAGACTGACTCACACCTCACTGGGTGGTCACAGACTGACTCACACCTCACTCATGGACTGACTCACACCTCACTCACAGACTGACTCACACCTCACTGGGTGGTCACAGACTGACTCACACCTCTCTCACGGACTGACTCACACCCCACTCACAGACTGACTCACACCTCACTGGGTGGTCACAGGCTGACTCACACCTCACTGGGTGGTCACAGACTGACTCACACCTCACTCACAGACTGGGGCGGTCGGGTAGCCTAGTGGTTAAAGCGTTCGCTCGTCACGCCGAAGACCCGGGTTCGAATCCCGACATGGGTACAATGTGTGAAGCCCATTTCTGGTGTCCCCCGCCGTGATATTGCTGGAATATTGCTAAAAGCGGCGTAAAACCATACTCACTCACTCACTCACTCACTCACAGACTGACTCACACCTCACTGGGTGGTCACAGGCTGACTCACACCTCACTGGGTGGTCACAGACTGACTCACACCTTACTGGGTCAGCTACTAGTGGGTTTCAAGTCAAAGAGTTCACAATTCTTCCAATATCGATCTACTCAAGAGTTTTTCATGTCTGACATTTGTTCTCCGACTGAGCAGGAAGAAAGAAGCATGGTACTTCAAATCTTAATTTCATTCCATCTCTGTGAACTTTGGACGGGCAGATCCATGAACCATGTGATAACACATTCAGCCGCCAGGTTTCTTCACTTCAAGAGGAACATCAACGTTATCATGATACATCTCCAATAGGAGGATTCAAATGTAATGGACTGTTTGCCTGGTCGAGATATTGATGGCAGGAGTCTATCATTGGAACTCAAATCCACTTAAGGAAGCATTCTGTCCTCTCTACATACAGGAAGCAGTCTGTCCTCTCTACATACAGGAAGCATTCTGTCCTCTCTACATACAGGAAGCGTTCTGTCCTCTCTACATACAGGAAACAATCTGTCCCCTCTACATACAGGAAGCATTCTGTCCTCTCTACATACAGGAAGCGTTCTGTCCTCTCTACATACAGGAAGCAATCTGTCCCCTCTACATACAGGAAGCAGTCTGTCCTCTCTACATACAGGAAGCATTCTGTCCTCTCTACAAAAAGGAAGCATTCTGTCCTCTCTACATACAGGAAGCGTTCTGTCCTCTCTACATACAGGAAGCAATCTGTCCTCTCTACATACAGGAAGCGTTCTGTCCTCTCTACATACAGGAAGCGTTCTGTCCTCTCTACATACAGGAAGCAATCTGTCCCCTCTACATACAGGAAGCAGTCTGTCCTCTCTACATACAGGAAGCATTCTGTCCTCTCTACAAAAAGGAAGCATTCTGTCCTCTCTACATACAGGAAGCGTTCTGTCCTCTCTACATACAGGAAGCAATCTGTCCTCTCTACATACAGGAAGCGTTCTGTCCTCTCTACATACAGGAAGCAGTCTGTCTTCTCTACATACAGGAAGCAGTCTGTCCTCTCTACATACAGGAAGCATTCTGTCCTCTCTACATACAGGAAGCATTCTGTCCTCTCTACATACAGGAAGCAGTCTGTCCTCTCTACATACAGGAAGCAATCTGTCCCCTCTACATACAGGAAGCATTCTGTCCTCTCTACATACAGGAAGCAGTCTGTCCTCTCTACATACAGGAAGCGTTCTGTCCTCTCTACATACAGGAAGCAATCTGTCCTCTCTACATACAGGAAGCAGTCTTTCCTCTCTACATACAGGAAGCAGTCTGTCCTCTCTACATACAGGAAGCAGTCTGTCCTCTCTACATACAGGAAGCGTTCTGTCCTCTCTACATACAGGAAGCGTTCTGTCCTCTCTACATACAGGAAGCAGTCTGTCCTCTCTACATACAGGAAACTTTCTGTCCTCTCTACATACAGGAAGTGTTCTGTCCTCTCTACATACAGGAAGAGTTCTGTCCTCTCTACATACAAGAAGCAGTCTGTCCTCTCACATACAGGAAGCAGTCTGTCCTCTCTACATACAGGAAGCAGTCTATGCTCTCTATATCCTCTCTACATACAGGAAGCGTTCTGTCCCCTCTACATACAGGAAGCAGTCTGTCCTCTCTATATACAGGAAGCGTTCTGTCCTCTCTACATACAGGAAGCAGTCTGTCCTCTCTACATACAGGAAGCATTCTGTCCTCTCTACATACAGGAAGCGTTCTGTCCTCTCTACATACAGGAAGCGTTCTGTCTTCTCTCCATACAGGAAGCAGTCTGTCCTCTCTAGATACAGGAAGCGTTCTGTCCTCTCTACATACAGGAAGCAGTCTGTCTTCTCTACATACAGGAAGCCTTCTGTCCTCTCTACATATTGGGGGTCACCTGAACCCATGGATGGAAGGTTGGCTGTGTGTATTGGGGGTCACCTGAACTCCTGGATGGAAGGTTGGCTGTGTGTATTGGGGGTCACCTGAACCCCTGGATGGAAGGTTGGCTGTGTGTATTGGGGGTCCCTGGAACCCCTGGATGGAAGGTTGGCTGTGTGTATTGGGGGTCACCTGAACCCCTGGATGGAAGGTTGGCTGTGTGTATTGGGGGTCCCTGGAACCCATGGATGGAAGGTTGGCTGTGTGTATTGGGGGTCCCCTGATCCCATGGATGGAAGGTTGGCTGTGTGTATTGGGGGTCCCCTGAACCCCTGGATGGAAGGTTGGCTGTGTCTATATAAGAGTGACAAGAGGGCAGTTTGCGGCCTGTGTCTTATCTACTTGTCAAGTGCTGATGTGGCACTCAGTTGTAAACACAAAATCCGTGAAAGCTTCCTACACTACTCTGGATTAAAAAAACGGAGACATACCTGTTTGACAACAATCGACCGTGACAATATTCCTGACATTCAAGAGAGCACTGACATTAATTCTAGGAACAGTTACTTATTGGTGAGGCCACTTATTTGACCTTTGACCTTTGTATTGCCCAAGTTTATTGTAAATCTAAAACTGTGTTTCAATACGATTGATTAGTAGGTTGGTTGGTTGGCTGGTTGGTTGGTTGGCTGGCTGGTTGGCTGACTGGTTGGTTGGCTGGTTGGCTGGTTGGTTGGCTGGTTGGTTGATTGATCTTGTCTGCTCCTTCACTGATTTCATAATTTATTTCTGTGCAGACCAATATTCTGAATTAACCTCTGTGTTCAGAAATCATTTTGTGACAGTCATCACACCAGAAGCAGTGGAGTTATGGATGTATGGGCACAGGAAGTATGACTTCGTGTGTGTGTTGTGTGTGTGTGTGTGTGTTGTGTGTGTGTGTGTGTGTGTGTGTGTGTGTTGTGTGTGTGTGTGTGTGTTAGGTTGTGTTGTGTTGTGTGTGTGTTAGGTTGTGTTGTGTTGTGTGTGTGTGTGTGTTAGGTTGTGTTGTGTGTGTGTGTGTGTGTTAGGTTGTGTTGTGTGTGTGTGTTAGGTTGTGTTGTGTGTGTGTGTGTGTGTTAGGTTGTGTTGTGTGTGTGTGTGTGTGTGTGTGTTAGGTTGTGTGTGTGTGTGTGTGTGTGTGTGTGTGTGTGTGTGTGTGTGTTAGGTTGTGTGTGTGTGTGTGTGTGTTAGGTTGTGTTGTGTTGTGTTGTGTGTGTGTGTGTTAGGTTGTGTTGTGTGTGTGTGTGTGTGTGTTAGGTTGTGTTGTGTGTGTGTGTTAGGTTGTGTGTGTGTGTTAGGTTGTGTGTGTGTGTGTTAGGTTGTGTGTGTGTGTGTGTGTGTGTGTGTGTGTGTGTTAGGTTGTGTTGTGTTGTGTGTGTGTGTGTGTGTGTGTGTGTGTTAGGTTGTGTTGTGTTGTGTGTTGTATGTTGTGTGTGTGTGTGTGTGTGTGTGTGTGTTAGGTTGTGTGTGTGTGTGAGGTTGTGTTGTGTGTGTGTGTGTTGTGTGTTGTATGTGTGTGTGTGTGTGTGTGTGTGTGTGTGTGTGTGTGTGTGTGTGTGTGTGTGTGTGTGTGTGTGTGTGTGTGTGTGTGTGTGTGCACTAGTCCGGATCGATGCCGATTTATAGTGCTAGCCCACTGAGATACCATGCCGCAGTTTAACATGAATACCCCACTCAGACACAGTATACTGACTCCGAGGTGATCAGTCCTCCAGGCAGGGTAACAACAAGTACCATCCTGTTCTCTGGGCGGATGCTCTACCACTAGACGAATGGAGGCGGTCAGTCGTGTGTTATATAATCCTGGGTCGAAGTCTCCTGTCACCAGTGGACACTGCCCCCATGTTGGCAGCCTCTCTCTAACTACCAACACAAGGGTCATCGGGGGATCTGTCCCTGGCGCTGTTCAAACTTACAGGAAGTAGCTTTGTGTTCAGGAAACAGATTGAATGACCGATGTAATGTCATTTGTTTTCAAGAAAAATGAAAATTGACTATTGTTATCACATACCAGCAAACTACTTCTATACCTCAGTAAATAGGGAAAGAATATAAAACTCACCGAAGCCAAATCGGAGTGATCCTCTCCCATGAATACAAATATCTGGAAAAAATAAACAAACATCAGTTTGTACACATTCAATGCTTCGATGATTCAATGATTCAATGAAAACATTGGAATAACCATATGAACATACATCACTAAAGGGACCAGCCCCACCCTCCAAACCTCCCCCCACCCTCCAAACCTCCCCCCACCCTCCAAAACTCCCCCTCTACCCTCCAAAACTCACCCCACCCTCCAAAACTCCCCCTCTACCCTCCAAAACTCACCCCACCCTCCAAAACTCCCCCTACCCTCCAAAACTCCCCCTCTACCCTCCAAAACCCCCCCTACCCTCCAAAACTAACCCCACCCTCCAAAACTCCCCCCACCCATCCAAAACTCCCCCTCTACCCTCCAAAACTCACCCCACCCTCCAAAACTCACCCCACACTCCAAAATTCACCAGACTGCCTCATGGACCATCAATACATCCCCCCTCTACTCCCCCCCTCCAGTGAGTCCAGTCATGGGGAGGAAGCAGCTAGAGTAATCACCAGACTGCCTCATGGACCATCAATACATCCCCCTCTACTGCCCCCCTCCAGTGAGTCCAGTCATGGGGAGAAAGCAGCTAGAGTAATCACCAGACTGCCTCATGGGCCATCAATACATCCACCTCTAGCATTCTCAGCACTATCTCATTTACAAAATACTCATCATGCAAATATATCACCAAGAAGTAATTCACTAAATGACATTACCAGACAACTGATCACTAAATTATTCAAATAGAATCACTTGCAGTTAATAACAACTCCTTGTATAAAACACAGTGAACTAAACGAATACAACAACATACAAAGACCTACACACACAAACCATCTGGGAAAGATTAACATACTCACACCATAAACCCACCCTAAACTCTCTATGACAATCTACCCACACCATAAACCCTCAATGACAATCTACCCACACCCTAAACCCACCATAAACTCTCTATGACAATCTACCCACACCCTAAACTCTCTATAACAATCTACCCACACCCTAAACCCACCATAAACTCTCTATGACAATCTACTCACACCCTAAACCCACCATAAACTCTCTATGACAATCTACCCACACCCTAAACTCTCTATAACAATCTACCCACACCCTAAACCCACCATAAACCCTCCATGACAATCTACCCACACCATAAACTCTCTATGACAATCTACCCATACCATTAACCCTCCATGACAATCTACCCACACCATAAACCCTCCATGACAATCTACCCACACCATAAACCCTCCATGACAATCTACCCACACCCTAAACCCACCATAAACTCTCCATGACAATCTACCCACACCATAAACCCTCCATAAACTCTCTATGACAATCTACCCACACCCTAAACCCACCATAAACTCTCTATGACAATCTACCCACACCCTAAACCCACCATAAACTCTCTATGACAATCTACCCATACCATTAACCCTCCATGACAATCTACCCACACCATAAACCCTCCATGACAATCTACCCACACCATAAACCCTCCATGACAATCTACCCACACCCTAAACCCACCATAAACTCTCTATGACAATCTACCCACACCATAAACCCTCCATAAACTCTCTACGACAATCTACCTACACCCTAAACCCACCATAAACTCTCTATGACAATCTACCCACACCCTAAACCCACCATAAACTCTCTATGACAATCTACCCACACCCTAAACCCACCATAAACTCTCTATGACAATCTACCCATACCATTAACCCTCCATGACAATCTACCCACACCATAAACCCTCCATGACAATCTACCCACACCCTAAACCCACCATAAACTCTCTATGACAATCTACCCACACCATAAACCCTCCATGACAATCTACCCACACCATAAACCCTCCATGACAATCTACCCACACCATAAACCCTCCATGACAATCTACCCACACCATAAACCCTCCATGACAATCTACCCACACCATAAACCCTCCATGACAATCTACCCACACCATAACCCTCCATGACAATCTACCCACACCATAAACCCTCCATGACAATCTACCCACACCATAAACCCTCCATGACAATCTACTCACACCATAAACCCTCCATGACAATCTACCCATACCATAAACTCTCTATGACAATCTACCCACACCATAAACCCTCCATGACAATCTACTCACACCATAACCCTCCATGACAATCTACCCACACCATAAACCCTCCATGACAATCTACCCACACCATAAACCCTCCATGACAATCTACCCACACCATAAACCCTCCATGACAATCTACCCACACCATAAACCCTCCATGACAATCTACCCACACCATAAACCCTCCATGACAATCTACCCACACCATAAACCCTCCATGACAATCTACCCAAACCATAAACTCTCTATAACAATCTACCCACACCATAAACCCTCCATGACAATCTACCCACACCATAAACTCTCTATAACAATCTACCCACACCGTAAACCCTCCATGACAATCTACCCACACCATAAACTCTCTATGACAATCTACCCACACCATAAACCCTCCATGACAATCTACTCACACCATAAACCCTCCATGATAATCTACCCACACCATAAACCCTCCATGACAATCTACCCACACCATAAACCCTCCATGACAATCTACTCACACCATAACCCTCCATGACAATCTACCCACACCATAAACCCTCCATGACAATCTACCCACACCATAAACCCTCCATGACAATCTACCCACACCATAAACCCTCCATGACAATCTACCCACACCATAAACCCTCCATGACAATCTACCCACACCATAAACCCTCCATGACAATCTACCCAAACCATAAACTCTCTATAACAATCTACCCACACCATAAACCCTCCATGACAATCTACCCAAACCATAAACTCTCTATAACAATCTACCCACACCGTAAACCCTCCATGACAATCTACCCACACCATAAACTCTCTATGACAATCTACCCACACCATAAACCCTCCATGACAATCTACCCACACCATAAACTCACCATGACAATCTACACACACCATAAACCCTCCATGACAATCTACCCACACCATAAACCCTCTATGACAATCTACCCATACCATAAACCCTCCATGATAATCTACACACACCATAAACCCTCCATGACAATCTACCCACACCATAAACCCTCTATGACAATCTACCCATACCATAAACTCACCATGACAATCTACACACACCATAAACTCACCATGACAATCTACACACACCATAAACCCTCCATGACAATCTACCCACACCATAAACCCTCCATGATAATCTACACACACCATAAACCCTCCATGACAATCTACCCACACCATAAACTCACCATGACAATCTACACACACCATAAACCCTCTATAACAATCTACCCACACCATAAACCCTCCATGACAATCTACACACACCATAAACCCTCCATGACAATCTACACACACCATAAACCCTCCATGACAATCTACCCACACCATAAACTCTCCATGACAATCTACCCACACCATAAACTCACAATGACAATCTACCCACACCATAAACTCACCATGACAATCTACCCACACCATAAACCCTCCATGACAATCTACACACACCATAAACCCTCCATGACAATCTACACACACCATAAACCCTCCATGACAATCTACACACACCATAAACCCTCCATGACAATCTACACACACCATAAACCCTCCATGACAATCTACACACACCATAAACTCACCATGACAATCTACACACACCATAAACTCACCATGACAATCTACTCACACCATAAACCCTCCATGACAATCTACCCATACCATAAACTCTCTATGACAATCTACCCACACCATAAACCCTCCATGACAATCTACCCACACCATAAACTCTCTATGACAATCTACCCACACCATAAACCCTCCATGACAATCTACCCACACCATAAACTCTCTATGACAATCTACTCACACCATAAACCCTCCATGACAATCTACCCACACCATAAACTCTCTATGACAATCTACCCACACCATAAACCCTCCATGATAATCTACCCACACCATAAACCCTCCATGACAATCTACCCACACCATAAACCCTCCATGACAATCTACACACACCATAAACCCTCCATGACAATCTACTCACACCATAAACCCTCCATGACAATCTACCCATACCATAAACTCTCCATGACAATCTACCCACACCATAACCCTCCATGACAATCTACCCACACCATAAACTCTCCATGACAATCTACCCACACCATAAACCCTCTATGACAATTGACCTATGTTCATGCTGGTATTTCTGAGACCTAGGGTGATACTTGCACACATCAACAGCAGTGTGAGGTTACTGCTGATCTTCCCACATCATTGCTTGATGCTCTCTGAAGAGATACCTCTCCCTATCTTCGCTGACTTAATCACTTTTAGATGTGGGCATCTGTCTACACTAGAGTGTTTGTGCATCTGTAGCATTCATCACTGTCTTGGGGAGGGGTATTTCTTGTATTGAAGTGTGTAGGTGGTGGAGATGGTGGTGGTGGCAGGGGGTGTGTGTCACTAGACAGTGTTGTCGTGTGTAGGTGGTGGTGGTGGTGGTGGCAGGGGGTGTGTGTCACTAGACAGTGTTGTAGTGTGTAGGTGGTGGCGATGGTGGGGGTGGCAGGGGGTGTGTGTCACTAGACAGTGTTGTAGTGTGTAGGTGGTGGTGGTGGCAGGGGGTGTGTGTCACTAGACAGTGTTGTAGTGTGTAGGTGGTGGCGATGGTGGTGGTGGTGGCAGGGGGTGTGTGTCACTAGACAGTCTTGTAGTGTGTAGGTGGTGGAGATGGTGGTGGTGGCAGGGGGTGTGTGTCACTAGACAGTGTTGTAGTGTGAAGGTGGTGGAGATGGTGGTGGTGGCAGGGGGTGTGTGTCACTAGACAGTGTTGTAGTGTGTAGGTGGTGGAGATGGTGGTGGTGGCAGGGGGTGTGTGTCACTAGACAGTGTTGTAGTGTGTAGGTGGTGGCGATGGTGGTGGTGGCAGGGGGTGTGTGTCACTAGACAGTGTTGTAGTGTGTAGGTGGTGGAGATGGTGGTGGTGGTGGCAGGGGGTGTGTGTCACTAGACAGTGTTGTAGTGTGTAGGTGGTGGAGATGGTGGTGGTGGCAGGGGGTGTGTGTCACTAGACAGTGTTGTAGTTAGTAGGTGGTGGAGATGGTGGTGGTGGCAGGGGGTGTGTGTCACTAGACAGTGTTGTAGTGTGTAGGTGGTGGCGATGGTGGTGGTGGCAGGGGGTGTGTGTCACTAGACAGTGTTGTAGTGTGTAGGTGGTGGCGATGGTGGGGGTGGCAGGGGGTGTGTGTCACTAGACAGTGTTGTAGTGTGTAGGTGGTGGCGATGGTGGGGGTGGCAGGGGGTGTGTGTCACTAGACAGTGTTGTAGTGTGTAGGTGGTGGCGATGGTGGTGGTGGCAGGGGGTGTGTGTCACTAGACAGTGTTGTAGTGTGTAGGTGGTGGCGATGGTGGGGGTGGCAGGGGGTGTGTGTCACTAGACAGTGTTGTAGTGTGTAGGTGGTGGCGATGGTGGGGGTGGCAGGGGGTGTGTGTCACTAGACAGTGTTGTAGTGTGTAGGTGGTGGCGATGGTGGTGGTGGCAGGGGGTGTGTGTCACTAGACAGTGTTGTAGTGTGTAGGTGGTGGCGATGGTGGGGGTGGCAGGGGGTGTGTGTCACTAGACAGTGTTGTAGTGTGTAGGTGGTGGCGATGGTGGGGGTGGCAGGGGGTGTGTGTCACTAGACAGTGTTGTAGTGTGTAGGTGGTGGCGATGGTGGTGGTGGCAGGGGGTGTGTGTCACTAGACAGTGTTGTAGTGTGTAGGTGGTGGAGATGGTGGTGGTGGTGGCAGGGGGTGTGTGTCACTAGACAGTGTTGTAGTGTGTAGGTGGTGGAGATGGTGGTGGTGGCAGGGGGTGTGTGTCACTAGACAGTGTTGTAGTGTGTAGGTGGTGGAGATGGTGGTGGTGGCAGGGGGTGTGTGTCACTAGACAGTGTTGTAGTGTGTAGGTGGTGGCGATGGTGGTGGTGGCAGGGGGTGTGTGTCACTAGACAGTGTTGTAGTGTGTAGGTGGTGGCGATGGTGGGGGTGGCAGGGGGTGTGTGTCACTAGACAGTGTTGTAGTGTGTAGGTGGTGGCGATGGTGGGGGTGGCAGGGGGTGTGTGTCACTAGACAGTGTTGTAGTGTGTAGGTGGTGGAGATGGTGGTGGTGGCAGGGGGTGTGTGTCACTAGACAGTGTTGTAGTGTGTAGGTGGTGGAGATGGTGGTGGTGGCAGGGGGTGTGTGTCACTAGACAGTGTTGTAGTGTGTAGGTGGTGGCGATGGTGGTGGTGGCAGGGGGTGTGTGTCACTAGACAGTGTTGTAGTGTGTAGGTGGTGGAGATGGTGGTGGTGGTGGCAGGGGGTGTGTGTCACTAGACAGTGTTGTAGTGTGTAGGTGGTGGAGATGGTGGTGGTGGTGGCAGGGGGTGTGTGTCACTAGACAGTGTTGTAGTGTGTAGGTGGTGGCGATGGTGGGGGTGGCAGGGGGTGTGTGTCACTAGACAGTGTTGTAGTGTGTAGGTGGTGGCGATGGTGGTGGTGGCAGGGGGTGTGTGTCACTAGACAGTGTTGTAGTGTGTAGGTGGTGGAGATGGTGGTGGTGGTGGCAGGGGGTGTGTGTCACTAGACAGTGTTGTAGTGTGTAGGTGGTGGAGATGGTGGTGGTGGCAGGGGGTGTGTGTCACTAGACAGTGTTGTAGTGTGTAGGTGGTGGAGATGGTGGTGGTGGCAGGGGGTGTGTGTCACTAGACAGTGTTGTAGTGTGTAGGTGGTGGCGATGGTGGTGGTGGCAGGGGGTGTGTGTCACTAGACAGTGTTGTAGTGTGTAGGTGGTGGCGATGGTGGGGGTGGCAGGGGGTGTGTGTCACTAGACAGTGTTGTAGTGTGTAGGTGGTGGCGATGGTGGGGGTGGCAGGGGGTGTGTGTCACTAGACAGTGTTGTAGTGTGTAGGTGGTGGAGATGGTGGTGGTGGCAGGGGGTGTGTGTCACTAGACAGTGTTGTAGTGTGTAGGTGGTGGAGATGGTGGTGGTGGCAGGGGGTGTGTGTCACTAGACAGTGTTGTAGTGTGTAGGTGGTGGCGATGGTGGTGGTGGCAGGGGGTGTGTGTCACTAGACAGTGTTGTAGTGTGTAGGTGGTGGAGATGGTGGTGGTGGTGGCAGGGGGTGTGTGTCACTAGACAGTGTTGTAGTGTGTAGGTGGTGGAGATGGTGGTGGTGGTGGCAGGGGGTGTGTGTCACTAGACAGTGTTGTCGTGTGTAGAACATTGCCTGGGGGAGGGGTATTTCTTGTATTGAAGTGTGTAGGTGGTGGTGGTGGTGGTGGTGGTGGTGTGTGTCACTAGACAGTGTTGTCGTGTGTAGAACATTGCCTGGGGGAGGGGTATGTCTTGTATTGAAGTGTGTAGGTGGTGGTGGTGGTGTCACTAGACAGTGTTGTCGTGTGTAGAACATTGCCTTGGGGAGGGGTATTTCTTGTATTGAAGTGTGTAGGTGGTGGTGGTGGTGGTGGTGGTGGTGTCACTAGACAGTGTTGTAGTGTGTAGAACATTGCCTGGGGGAGGGGTATTTCTTGTATTGAAGTGTGTAGGTGTGTGTGTGTGTGTGTGTCACTAGACAGTGTTGTAGTGTGTAGAACATTGCCTGGGGGAGGGGGAACCAACAATATATTGGTGTCTGATCCCAGACTACGTAGGTGTCTGATCCCAGACTTGTCATCATGATGCTGGTGTGATTTCAGAGGTTTTCAGGAATCCTATTTTAACACGAGTCTTTGACCCTTGGTGATTTCCTTAGATGTAGATAAAGAGACAGTGGAAGGATATTGTGACATATTCCTGTTGGGTCAGAGACTTGCTCATACTGTTCTCTTGAAGTTGGACAACTTACATTTATGAAAACCAGATATCACCATCCCCCGCCATAGGCACATTAGAACTGGGTTTGTTCATTTATATATCATGGATGTTTATGATATCTACATAAAAAAGAGTCCTATAAAGCCTCAAGAAGAGACAGGCACTCGGGTCACATTATGTCATCAGAAAAAAATGATTAAATGTGAAATTAAAACACACAAAAGGCTCCTTCTCTGGAAAAATCATTTTCAAACTCAGTCTTGATACAAGCTCATCTACAAGCTTGCTAAGTTTCTGGCATGTAACTTGAGTAGTTTCTGAGAAAACTTGTCCCCATTGAAGACACTATGCAGTGAGTAAAATAACATACATCAAAGCCGTAACTGTGTGAAAAAATAATTTACAGCACCAATTTTCTAACTCAGTCTTCACAAGTATCTCTTAGATGAACACACCAACTTTCAATCATATAACTTCAGTAGTTTCTGAGAAAACTTGTGCCCATCTCACCTATCCACCTACCCAATCTCACCTACCCAATCTCACCTACCGAAATGCCTACCCAATCTCACCTACCCAATCTCACCTACACATCTCACCTACCAAACTGCCTACCCAATGTCACCTACCCAATCTCACCTACACATCTCACCTACCCAATCTCACCTACCCATCTCACCTACCCAATGTCACCTACCCAATCTCACCTACACATCTCACCTACCCAATCTCACCTACACAATCTCACCTACCCAACTGCCTACCCAATCTCACCTACCCAACTGCCTACCCAATCTCACCTACACAATCTCACCTACCCAATCTCACCTACACATCTCACCTACCCAATCTCACCTACCCAACTGCCTACCCAATCTCACCTACCCAATCTCACCTGCCCAATCTCACCTACCCAATCTCACCTACACATCTCACCTACACAATCTCACCTACACAATTTCACCTACCCAATCTCACCTACACAATCTCACCTACACAATCTCACCTACCCAACTGCCTACCCAATCTCAACTACACATCTCACCTACACAATCTCACCTACACATCTCACCTACACAATCTCACCTACACAATCTCATCTACCCAACTGCCTACCCAATCTCACCTACACATCTCACCTACACAATCTCACCTACACAATCTCACCTACCCAACTGCCTACACAATCTCACCTACACATCTCACCTACACAATCTCACCTACACATCTCACCTACACAATCTCACCTACACAATCTCACCTACACAATCTCACCTACCCAACTGCCTACCCAATCTCACCTACACATCTCACCTACACAATCTCACTTACACAATCTCACCTACACATCTCACCTACACAATCTCACCTACCCAACTGCCTACACAATCTCACCTACACATCTCACCTACACAATCTCACCTACACATCTCACCTACACAATCTCACCTACACAATCTCACCTACCCAACTGCCTACCTACTTCCCAATTTCATACAAACAGCTGGCATTGCCAAACTTTTAAGGGTGTGCGGTATTACCTGTACACCGGTACATTGTGGTGCAAATCTTCAGTAATACGTACTGCGATATGTTTGTAAATGAAGCAATATATTGGGGCAAATATAGATAAGTATATTTATGTGTTCCTAATTGCTATGGAGATGGAAAATAGTATCTTTCTAAGACAACTTGCCTCTGACGATCTTTTTATCAATTCAGATTTATTTCTTGTTTTGTTTCTATTCTTTAATCTCTTTATTGTACATTCATTCGAAAGGACAAATAGTGAGGGACACTGACAGATGGTATCTGACATTAATAAAGGGTATAACGCTGATTAACTCATGAATGAATGAGTGAGTGAGTTGGGTTTAACGCCGCTTTTAACATTATTCTCAGGTTAGAGTATGGCAATATATTGCAATACATATCGCAATACAGGTTAGAGTATGGCAATATATTACAATACATATCGCAATACAGGTTAGAGTATGGCAATATATTACAATATAAAATCCGGGACAATACATGGCCCTACCAACTTTCCCCCAGGTGCTGAAGCTCACCTTCATATGTTCGCCAGCTGGAGCAGTCTCGCTTGTACGTCTCCACCTCCGTCTGGTTCAGCCACCCCGGGAAGGGCGGCGGCTTCAGCGTCACACACAGACGCTCCACGGGGTGGAGCTGAGGGCGACATGAGGCGGAGCTGGTGCCGGGGCCACACACCCCTCCCGCTACATCCCCCATGTCGACACGGCGCCGTCGCTACCCAGATCTAGGGGACATCCACCACCTGAAGATGAGGAAGAACTGTCAGAGAACTCGCGATCGAGGTCAAACACTGAGTGAGTGGGTGGGTTGGTGGGTGGGTGAGTGAGTGGGTTGGTAAGTGAGTGAGTTGGTGAGTGAGTGGGTTGGTGAGAGAGTGAGTGAGTGAGTGAGTGATAGAGTGAGTGAGTGAGAGTGATAGAGTGGGTGAGTGAGTGAGTGAGTGAGAGTGATAGAGTGAGTGAATGAGTGATAGAGTAAATGAGTGATAGAGTGAGTGTGGGAGTAAGTGAGTGTGCAAGTGAGTGAGTGATTGAGTGATTTGTTGGATCATTTCACTTAATAATTCACTGAAAAATATCAGCAAAGCACCAATATTTCCACACAACAAAATTATCCTTAACAAGTTACAATGGAGCAATTGGTACACCCCTTCATTTTAACATCAGAGTTTTCAAACCAATCCTGGATTCATGATAACATTCGTTGTAAATGTGACATTCATGTTAAACCGAGAGCACATGAAGCTATCTGTTGTCGACATTAATGTAAGCCGTATCACCTAACACTTTATTGTTGACATTTATTACTCACAATTCTACTGATTCAGTGTTAGAAAAAAAGATTTACCAGTAATTTTCAATGTCACTATGATAATAAAATACACACCCCAAGACCAAGCACAACCATCTTTAATACATTCATCTATAAAATCAATAGCTGAGAATTCATGAGAGTTTAGGTCCTTTCTTCCTTCACCCCCTGCTTCGACCAACCCTCCCTCACAGTCTACACCACCCCCTGCTTCCACCAACCCTCCCTCACAGTCTACACCACCCCCTGCTTCCACCAACCCTCCCTCACAGTCTACACCACCCCCTGCTTCCACCAACCCTCCCTCACAGTCTACACCACCCCCTGCTTCCACCAACCCTCCCTCAGTCTACACCACCCCCTGCTTCCACCAACCCTCCCTCACAGTCTACACCACCCCCTGCTTCCACCAACCCTCCCTCCCAGTCTACACCACCCACGCTACACCAATGTTGTGGTCACACAGATTACAACGCTCAGATGCAAACCCAACACACTGCCAGGAGTTTTTGTGTTGGAGTGTTCCTAAATCCCTTCCTCACAGTCTACACCACGCCCGCTACACCACTGCCAGGAGTTTGTGTGTTGATGTGTTCCTACACTAAACTGGTTCCACTGTTGGTATGCGACGCAATCTTAGTGTTTTTAGTCACCCGCCGACAGCCCAACTGTCAGCTGTACCTGTGTACCATCCGGGCTTTATTAATTATGAATGACAAAAAAACAAGGAGACATGCAACCACCTTGAGTCTGCTTAAGGAACTGGCAACATGCATAGACTTGCACAAGTCTCTTAGGCAATGATTATTTGTTTAAATAATACTTTCTAGATTATATAAATAATAAGAACAAGTGGTCCCCACAACAGACTTGTGTCCTTGTACTGTCCACTTATCTAGACTTGCCCACTGTAAGGGTAGAAATACTATACGCCCAGGGACTTATCATTCAATACAGCCTTGGAGCAAGGCTAGAATAGGCAGCCGGCAGTGGTTAATGCTGGACATGGCAGCCCTAACCCCTGCTGTGAGCCGACAGATGGGAGCAGCCAGTGTTGGGGTGGGTGGGCGGTGGGGGGGAGAGAGACAAGCTGGCCGGCTATCTTTGTCTTCTTCATGGTATTTTTATCTTTAGTGGATAGGCTATCAAACACACCTGTCACACAAATATTTCTATGTGAAATTAGCAAATTTTGCCGGAATTTATTTAGTGTCATATTTGTTACTATACATAATTAAAATATCTCTATACATGTATATAATATATATCATATCCCAGTCAAGTTACCAATAAAATTGTTCTCAACCCCTCCTAGAACCAATAATGTTATACAATTGTGAAGTTTTGGGTGTAAGTTTGGCAATGTTAAAACATTGAAACACTTCTCCAGAGAGACTACAGCTTCAGTTTTGGTAAATCATTACTAGGAGTAGGCAAGAAAACAGAGACCTGGGGCTGTCTGGCAGAACGTGGTATACAATCCTACATAGATAACTCAACAAATGTCAGTCTTAAACATACTTTGGAAGCAAATATCAATATTTCAAGTCAAAATGTTGCCTTGGTTAATAAATTCTATAAAATACAACAAACTTTTGAAACTGTGAAACTTGCGGTGTCGTAGAAGACGAGCAACACTATGCAATGTCCTGAATAAAATATAGTCAAGAAAGAGAATGACTTCTACAAATAATGCTCAATCATAAACAAGAATTTGGTACACTGCCCATAAAAGAACAATTCTTGATAATTTTTACCATCAGTCATCCAGAAACAATTGCTAAGATCTTATTTTCAATTTCAAATACATCCCTTGTATTTCCAACATTACCCTAGTTTTGATCAACCCTCACATCATGTCCTCATATCATACTATTATACTTGCTTCAAAAGGAAATTGTTTTATCATATCTCATGTATATGCAGAATGTACCTGTTTGCTTTGTACTTCCTGTCCATATATTTGTAGTTTGTAGAATATTGCCACTGTTTCTGATGGAATGGTAGGCAATAAATATCTTATCTTATCTCAGTGCATAATGACACCAAGAAAGTATGAGAATACTTGAATATTAAGAAGAGAAGGCATGCTTTCACGCTTATTTCTACAAACCTCCTTCAAATCATACCATGTTTTATTATGGAAAGCACAAATCGAAAAAATATGTACAGAAAATAAATCTGCACTGCTGCTTAATAGCCATGCCCTTCTTCTGAACAAACAAATGGAACATCTTCACAGACGGGAGTCCCCGATGAAATCCATGTGTGGTGAAGGAATCACTGCAACGTGCACGTCTTTACCCCCCACACCAAGGGGCGCCACCATAACCACAGCCTGCCAACAACACAGCCAGGGACACAGCTACAGGAAGAATGACACTGTTGTCCCACTGACCAGACCTGACACTCCCCACCAACTCAACTCCACTGCCACAATCTGGGTGGTAGACAGAGAGCTCTTCTCCCAGCCTGTCCCACATAGAGAGCTTTTCTCCCAGCCTCTCCAAGACAGAGCTCTTCTCAGTCTTTCCTGGATAGAGAGCTCTTCTCACAGCCTGTCCCAGATAAAGAGCTCTTCTCACAGACTTGCGAGAGAGAGAGAGAGAGCTCTTGCCCCAGCCTGTCCAAGGCAGAGAGCTCTTCTCACACCAGATAGAGAGCTCTTCTCCCAGCCTGTTCACGACAGAGCTCTTCTCCCAGCCTGTCCCAGACAGAGAGCTCTTCTCACAGTCTCTCCCAGACAGAGCTCATCTCACAGCCTGTTCAAGATACTGTCAGCTTGGGATGAGAGGAGAGGGGAATGTAAGGAGAGACACTGTCAGCTTGGGATGAGAGAGGAGAGGGGAATGTAAGGAGAGACACTGTCAGCTTGGGATGAGAGAGGAGAGGGGTAATATAAGGAGAGACACTGTCAGCTTGGGATGAGAGGAGAGAGGAGAAATATAAGGAGAGACACTGTCAGCTTGGGATGAGAGAGGAGAGGGGGAATATAAGGATAGACACTGTCAGCTTGGGATGAGAGAGGAGAGGGGAATATAAGGAGAGACACTGTCAGCTTGGGATGAGAGAGGAGAGGGGAATATAGGGAGAGACACTGTCAGCTTGGGATGAGAGAGGAGAGGGGAATGTAAGGAGAGACACTGTCAGCTTGGGATGAGAGAGGAGAGGGGTAATATAAGGAGAGACACTGTCAGCTTGGGATGAGAGGAGAGGAGAAATATAAGGAGAGACACTGTCAGCTTGGGATGAGAGAAGAGAGGAGAAATATAAGGAGAGACACTGTCAGCTTGGGATGAGAGAGGAGAGGGGAATATAAGGAGAGACACTGTCAGCTTGGGATGAGAGAGGAGAGGGGAATATAAGGAGAGACACTGTCAGCTTGGGATGAGAGAGGAGAGGAGAAATATAAGGAGAGACACTGTCAGCTTGGGATGAGAGGAGAGAGGAGAAATATAAGGAGAGACACTGTCAGCTTGGGATGAGAGAGGAGACGGGAATATAAGGAGAGACACTGTCAGCTTGGGATGAGAGAGGAGAGGAGAAATATAAGGAGAGACACTGTCAGCTTGGGATGAGGGAGGAGACAGGAAATATAAGGAGAGACACTGTCAGCTTGGGATGAGAGAGGAGAGGGGAATATAAGGAGAGACACTGTCAGCTTGGGATGAGAGAGGAGAGGACAAATATAAGGAGAGACACTGTCAGCTTGGGATGAGAGAGGAGACGGGAATATAAGGAGAGACACTGTCAGCTTGGGATGAGAGAGGAGAGGAGAAATATAAGGAGAGACACTGTCAGCTTGGGATGAGAGAGGAGACAGGAAATATAAGGAGAGACACTGTCAGCTTGGGATGAGAGAGGAGACGGGAATATAAGGAGAGACACTGTCAGCTTGGGATGAGAGAGGAGAGGAGAAATATAAGGAGAGACATTGTCAGCTTGGGATGAGAGAGGAGACAGGAAATATAAGGAGAGACACTGTCAGCTTGGGATGAGAGAGGAGACGGGAATATAAGGAGAGACACTGTCAGCTTGGGATGAGAGAGGAGAGGAGAAATATAAGGAGAGACATTGTCAGCTTGGGATGAGAGAGGAGACAGGAAATATAAGGAGAGGCACTGTCAGCTTGGGATGAGAGAGGAGAGGAGAAAGATGAGAGAGTATGGGGGGTATTTGGGAACACAAGGAGAGTATCAGTCTGAGGGCGGCGGCATCCACAGCATACCGCTCCATGTGATGGATGAGATTCACTGTCAATAAACCGCAATTCCCTGCGGAAACTCTTTTCATAGAAGACATAAAAAGAAGCTGTTTATTTCTTTTTTTCCTGTAGTTGGAATTGGCCAAATTACTGTGATAATATCGGAACACGCAGTTATCTTCTTGTAGCAAAAGAAAGATTTGCTTCTGTTGCAGCAGAAACCAGCA